AGAACTTTTCTCCCTTAAAATGTCAGCTTAAGCGAAAAAAAATTGACACACCGTCCTTGTAACGATTTTCAAAGTTTCAGCCGACGAAGGAATGGGTAAATAAAATAAACTTGCCTAGTTTTGAACTTGAAAACTTTTCAAATTCGTGCTTGCGTGATTAGCGGGCGAAAAGCAAAACATCTTGACGTCACACATACATACTCTCATGCAAACACTCCTCTCAGCCAATCAGAGCGCTCGTACTATCTTAGTTATTTTATAAAGTGAAAAAAAGGCCACAAAGTTGCGAAATTCATAGATGTTTGTGTGGTGGAGGGCAAGTTTGTGCCCCCACCATACAAACGTCTTTAAAATTTCGAGACTTTGATCAGCTGTATCTTCGTTAGTTTTCGACAAATCACTTTCAAACTTGGCAATTTACCAAAGTGCGATTCAAGAAGGTGTCAGGTAAAATGGTTATTTCTAAGCGTTCGAGCTGCAATACAAATGTGTAGTCAACACGAAAGTGAAAATGCTCTATTTACTTACAGCATAAATATGGGATACGGTTTGTAATATATGATTAGGCATTTATTTTTGGCATTCATAAAAGATCAGACACAAGTTATCAATGGCCCCTATCCCCTAGATTTGATAGAGGGGGTTCTACATAAGAGATGAAGATGATTAAAGTAACGCCATAAGTATCTCCTTGAGTCGAAGCCTTGGAAAGTGAAAAGAGGTCGAAAGTAAAGCGAAGCACTTAGAAGAAGAGTCTATACCTAACGGGCTTTTATAAGTCAGTAGGCGGTCCAATCGCGATGAGCCCTATAAAGATGTTTGAAGATATTCAAACATTGCCTATATATATCCTATTTTCGTAGTAGTTAAGTCGATTGAGTTGCTTTTCCTACAAATTAGAAGTAGCCATTATAGCGTAAATAATCAAAAGTCCGATTTACATTTGCCTTGTGCTTTCCTACCATCTCATCCCCTCCCTTTTTCCTGCACTGACACTTATTGGATCGCTTCTTAAATCAAGCTTAGCTAGGATTTAAGTTTTTTGTTACGGTTCTGAAAAGAATTAAATCGGGTCATTATCGGTTTATACAACAGAAAAAAGGGGTTAGTTCTTAAAGCTTATGTTATCACGTTTATGACATAACCTTCCGTGTGTTTTGAAAATAAATAAACGTTCTTAACTATGTCACACACGAGCTATTTTCTCCAACCCTTACCGGAGAATCCCGCAAAGCAAGCACTGAAACGTCCTGAAAGCCGTAGCCTCCCTCGAAGACGCTCGTAGAGTTTCGTCATGCATTACTGGTCTTTCCGAACTGTTGTCTGCGTCGAAGGGCATGTGCTCTGAATATCCGTTGCAAGATGGTCTGAAGTTTTATTGCTTGCATTTGACCTTTGTAGTTGATTCCAGAGGACAACATTGCCTGTGAAACATTTTTGAAGCACATTATAGCTGGAAACATGTTGAGATACCACCCCGGAAATAAATCTGTGCTTTACCCCCACGACCTCCGGTAGCGGGCGAAAATATTCCTTTTGTGCCCAGTGTGAGTTAAAAGCTGCTGTTATGGCGTTGTCACGTATTATCTGATAAGGATCTGAGAAGCTCCAGCTATACTGATCACGTTCTGTTTGTCAGTCACGTCCTGTACTTTAAAACTAGTTGTTTGAAAAAGTAAAAGAACAAACAAACAAACAAACAAACAAATCAAACTAACAAATAAACAAATAAATCAGTGAGAAAATAACCCATGACCCAAATCTTAGCCATTTAGCTGCAAGGATGACCCTTTGAAGCCAATTCTAGAAGAAAATGGATCATGTGCCATGACCTTTTCAACGTGCATTAGGTCGTAACACGTCATAACCATAAACCCGTGTTTCCGGCAATCCCAGTTGCCTGAGCGATCGACTAATCATTTCCTTTTGAATAATTCAAGATCATCAGTGAGAGTGATTCCCTTCTTCTGGGAAAAAAGACAAACAACAAACAAAACAAAAACAGAGATACAGATACAAAGCAAAAAAACAATTAATATCTGTAGAAGTTAGTTGTTGTTGTTCATTTAATACAGTCAAGACATATAATATACTTTTAAACAACTACAATACGGCTTCCAAGCAAGCCTGTCATGTAGAAAAATAGCGAACGACAGTTTTGTTTCTGCTCATAGGTATAAGCTCCCACATTAACATAATGTCAAAAATTGGTTGCAAAACATTTGGTGTCAAATCAATTTCCAGTGAACTAAAACACGTTTAGTGTTAGGGGGGGTACACAAGGGGGGGGGGAGTACTTTCTTTTCCAAAACGGGTACTGTATGTACCACTAAACAATTTTGCGTGAATTGCTTTCTTGAATAGGGTTTAGTTTCTTGAATAGGGTTTAGTTTCTTCCGATAACCTATAAAAGAGTGCAAACCAGTTGCCTCTTTTCTTCCAAAACAATTTACTTCCATGTTATTAGTTAAGAAAATTGCTGCTATTCGTACACGAAACGAAATGAATCACGGTCATGGAATAAGGTATCTTGTTTAAGAGTAAATAGCGAAATGAACGTTTTCTGTCTTAAACAGGGTCAGGAGTTTTGAAGTACTCGGCGGCACAATTCTACTTGAATTTCCTTTGAGTGCGCCCCTCCCCCCCAGCCGGGGTTGTGATAAACGTTAACAGTATGTAATATAAGGACTTGAGGACTCGATCCCTGTTAGCTCAGTTATACACAGTGGTCTAGGAATTTAACATAAGACCAGTTTAAATTAAATCATGAGCAAAGTGTGAGTTGCAACGTTACCCCACACGGCTTCCGATCATTTGACGTCACTATAAGCTAGAATGGCACGACTATGTATATACGTGGTTAGTCAAGGCCTTACAAAGGAAAAGCTTTATTCGTGGTTGCTCAAAAGTGCTGAGTATATCATGAAACAGGAAAAGCGTGCCTGGTCTCACTGTAGCTGCCACTGGACTCGCCTATAAAAGTGAACGGTGATTCCTTACACCTCACAGTTCGATATAAACGTCTTGTAGTACGTCGTCTAGGTCTACGAGCCTCTGAATTTGTTCTCAAGTTGTCATTGCCTGTTGTGTACGAGCTGTTAAAGTGAAGTAAGTTGATTTATTCAAAAGCTTAAGTGCAATTTTGGTCCAACGAATCTTAAACAAGTCTCAGTTTAAGCTCTTAACTTAATTTAAGTTTTCTTTGTTTGATGGGACGCACAGCTAGAGTAGTTGTAATGTTGTTGTTGTTGTTGTTGTTGTTGTTTTGTTTTGTTTGTGTTCGTCCATTATGTATAAGGGAAAGAATATTTCTTTCTTTCTTTCTTTCGTAAAAATATTTTTTAAACTTAAGGGTAGAACTTGACTTGTTAAATTCTCGGATAGGACTGGGCATTCTATGCGAGCAGGAGCTCATGATGCGAGGGAACTTTATTTATCAAGAAAGCGACAATAGAAATAATTAAGTACTCGTTACTGATCAGTATCAGGACTTTTTTCCCTAGCCGGCGCTGATCAAAAATGCTCTAAGAGCAGAAGTGCCTCCTGACGTCTGGGTTTTGCCCTGCTAAGACGTAACAAGAGAAATGAGGCCAAAATAAATAACTTCTGTTTAACTGCAGGTCGACCATGCATCTGACGATTCGCATATTCCTTTTGCTGACTGCTTTGGTTATTGCATTGTATCATGTTGAAGGTAAGGATTACCTTTTTGTTAGAATTTTTATATTCGCTATCTTGTCTTATGCTTGCTACAATGTGAACTGGAAACCTGGTAGTAGCCTTATTTATGCGCTACTCTCATCATGAGCATGCGCGACTCTAGTAAAATATTTGTTTAATTGTTTAGTTGTACGTATAGCCAGAAAAACAGTCGATAAGGGAAGATCTAAAGCTCTCCCGAGAAAAAGGCTATCTAGTGGATCTTCAATCACCCACGAAGCCTTTCCAGCTTTAGATGAACGTACTTTCGTACTTTGTTAAATTATATTTTAACCCACAGATGGGGGGAGTGGGGTTGGATACACCCCCCTCCCCCATAATGTTTTTCTGAGTTTTTTCCTAGAGGATAAAACATCAGTACCTGACGCTTTCACTAGCTGTTCATTCATCCCTCGCTCGCATTTTGAGACAAGTTTAGTGATGGTCAGTTGCTATGGTTACGAGAAACGACGTCATAAGTAACAGGTGGTCAAGCCAATTAAAAGGAAAATACCTGCTTTTTCAACTTCTTTCAACAATAAAAGTAAATCTTGCGGCTAAAATCATGCAAAGTGCTTATTTATGTATTATTTTTCATGTAAAGCACAAAAAATTACCATTTCTCGCGGTTTTAACCTGATTTCCTACTCTTGGTAAAATCCAAGATGTACACCATTGTTGGTGACTTGTTAAAAAGATTAAAGGCCTTCCACTAAAGGTAAAATCGTTTCAAAATACTGCAGCATATCAAAAACTCCTTCATAACCCCAACCCCCCCCCACCCCCCCCGCGCCTTTGTACCACGGTGGGGGTATGAACTTGCGTGTACGTTCGAGGGTTAGTAATTTCATTGGTGTACGTTGGTGGCTTAACCATTGAACTTACTTACTTACTTACTACCCGCTATGCTTAGCCTATGACTATATTAAAAATTTCACTTTTGTTCAGCTCACAATAGATGTGACTGGCCGCGAGGTGCTTGTTATTTCAAATACGACCCTTGCCCGGCAAACACGGAACGCTGCCAGAAGTACGATCACAGTTGTTCCAAAACAAATCATTGCTGCTGCAACCGACCAACTAGTAAGTTTCTTCAAAGGAAGCTTTCTTTTACATGTTTTGAATTCATTTTTTCTTATCGATTTTGTGGTGACCTTATTCGCCACTTTAGACAGGGGCACCCAACGAGAATAAGGTTCAAAACAACTAAAACATAGCATTGTTAAACGTATTTTAGTACTTAAACGATAGATATAGGCACATTTTTATCCCTTAAAAATTTTTCATCTGTTCGGATCTCCTATCTGTAAGTCTAGTGATCCGAAAATTACAGGGATCAAACTTACCTTTTCGAAAATTTCAGCCAGAAAAAAGGCTATCGAAAATTTTTGGTGATATTTTCAGGGTAAAAATTCGTTAAAAAGGGGCAATTATACCAGGTGTTAGATGTTCCAAAATCCTAGGAAAGGCAGGCAAGCAAGAAATTTTACAACAAATGTTCCGAAAATTGTAGATCTCAAATCGTCTTCCGGACAGATATTTTTCGAAAATTGACGTTGGGTGTTCATGTTTAGAAACGATGAGGAGACTGGTGCCGAAATATATACCGCAATTGTTTCTGGAAAACAATATCGTTACTGGGGACGCGCCAGTCAGCTATTGGCCATTATTTTGCATGCCCTTATTAAGAGTCCCAGAAGCCTTTACGACAGTTAACTTGGCCCAGTTCCCCTCTCGTTTCTGAGATGGAGAATTGAGTGCCGTGCCATGCGAGCCAGCACCTACAGCTACTGAAAAACATACTGAAGAAAGCAAAAAAAGCGTTAGTGCTTCTGAGGAGATGTACCCTTTATCACTTGGAGTTTTGGTCTTTGGCACCGATTTATCTTCGTGCTTTATGTAGGGGCCTAAGTTACTATATCAAAAATGCTCCTTTTTAAGAGGCGAGAGAAAAAAAGTAGAGGAGGTCTTGAAGCGTCCAAAAGTAAGGTTCGAAAAAAAAAACTGACCACGAAACCGCTGCAATTTAAGTTAGGGACAAAAAAATATATATTTGAACTTGTGTTAGTCTAACCTGGTCAGAATGCTATTGTGGAATGTACGAAGGCAAAGCAAAAAAGATGGATTGTTTTTTAAAACTATGCCGAAACTGAAACTAGCTGAACCTGAAATAGTCGTATGTGAAAGTGACTACACAAGAGGTTTCATTTGAATGGTTTTTACACTGCGGTGTAAAATATGTACAGTCAGTGCGTGATTGACACCACTCGGATGATTGCCCGACGGATGATAATTGTCAAGATGATTGCGCTGTCCAAATCCGCGTATTATTTCAGTCATACGACGTTTAGTTATTACAGTTTTAATTCCTTAGGTATATTGGTTTTATATCACTTAATTCTCTTTTGTTTAAAAGCCCCTAATCCACAACCAAATGTATGCGACTGGCCACGTGGAACTTGTACTTATAACAAAGAGCCTTGTCCTCCAAATTGGCATCGCTGCCCTAAGTTTGACAAAGGATGCAGACTTCCAACAAACCACTGCTGCTGCCGTAGGTAAGCTAATGATACTAATGTGTAAGTCTAATTTGCTATTTCCTGTATAGATTAAGTGAAGAGGTGACCAAGATGAACCCTCTGAAAACCACCCTATGTAGCAAAAGAGTTTGACTCAGTGGCCAAAAATAAACCAGTAAATAACACGAAAATAGCAAAACAAAAAAAACAAAAACAGGGCAAAATATTGTCCACTCAGTACTGTCATATAACAGAACTGAGGAGTGACTATTCAAGGTGCAAAAAGAGACGCCATATGGATGGGAACATGCGTGATTGACATAAAATCCATTTTTGTCTGAGATGGACACCTTTGGGACGGGCACTAATTTCGTCCGTCTTAGAGAGATGTCCTTCTTAAAGAGAGTCCACTAAAAGGAGCAAAGAAAGGCAGGGACCTACTTTAGGTGTCCTTTTTAGCGAGGTGTCCATTAAGAGAGAGCTGACTGTATATACTGGTCAAGGTTGAAGAAATATCCAGTAAAAGAAAAAAGAAATACGTAATGACAAGTGAAAATACTGCCGAAGAGATTTCGTTTAAAACCTTACCCTGGCGCAGGATTTTATGAGCCACACAGGGGGCCCAAACAAACTGAAGTTAGAGGAAATGTATATGGGGATAAAATAAAAATAAATTAATAATGATTTAGTGATACCACATCTAATTAATGGTTCTTCGTCTTCCTGATTCCTGGTCGCATTGGAATTTGGAACTGTTGGCTTTTGAGAAGAGGGGGAAATCGAAGTACCCGGAGAAAAACCTCTCGGAACAAAGGAGAGAACCAACAACAAACTCACACATATGGCGTCGACGCCAAATTTGAACCCGGGCCACATTCACTGGGAGGCGAGTGCTCTCACCACTATATCTTATCTTCAATAAAAAAATTAAATTTAAACTCTTTTGTTTAATATTTATTTGATAAATGTTTTTCCTTTCTTTTTTGCAGTCAATAGACCTGAGGTTAATGGTGGCATTACAAAACGCCTTATGCTTTAATTAAAGTAGAAACTGCACAATAATGAAAATAGATGGCTGAAACATGCATAATTAGGTAATAACAGTTGACTTTAATTTATCAGTTTATTGCTGGTTTGTACGTGACGCCACGGCGGCCATGTTGGTGGTCAAGAACAAAAGAACTTCTCTCTTCTGAGAATTAAACTCGAATTTCATGTAAATTCTTGAAAAAAAGCTTTTATTGTATTGACCACCAACATGGCCGCCTTGTCACCCATTGTTGAAGCTTGTGCTTCAGTATGAGAATATCATCCAAAAGAAGAGGAGGAAATCATGCTTAATTAAATACCAGGAGAAAATAAACGAGGAGGAAATAAATCTTCCATAAATGCTCTATTTTATCTGTGAAGAGATCTTAGATATTTTGATGGTAAGAAATTGGCCTCAGATGTCGAAATCTCAAGCAAGTTACGCAAACCTCATCCACACGGAGATCAGTCTTAATATTTCTTTGGCAATGCATTGGCTAATCCTCCTGGGATTTCTACTTCTAGGAGTCTTAGTGTATAAAAAAAAAACTTAAGACCGATCACCTTTTTAAAGAAAAAAAACATTTGTTGCGAATGACTTCTTCTTCATTTTCTCTCGGTTAGGAACATTTAGGAGATAAAACTTTGAACAACAGGCTTTTCTTAAGCTGACTCTAGCATATCATACCGACAAATTTCGTTTTTAAAAGATTGTGACTGCCTACTGTAATTGTTTTAGAGTTAAGCTGCCGAATAAATGATTTAAAGGAAAATATACAAAAGAGTTGTGTTTATTGACTTATTTCTGTTTTTTTTTTCTTTTTGAATGGAGGTACAGTCTACTCCCGATAACTCGAACCTCCAAGGGAAATCGAAAAAAGTCCGTGTTATCGGGAGTTCGAGTTATCGGGAGCTCGAAGAAAATAGCCGAGAGTAAGGTAAAAAACAGTTTTTACTGCACAGTGAACATTTTAATCACATTTAATTGTAGAAAGGTCAAGTGAAAATTAAAAGGTACTTGTAGATCATAAATCAGAACGTAACGTAACAAAACATAGCCTAAATAGAGTATGCGTTTTACTGTTTTGAGAAGTAAAGCTGCTTCACGTTAGCCTTTGACAATCAACATCAGCCTCCGTTAGTAAACTATACTCCTACAACACGTTAATAGGAAATCCAAAATTCAATGTTTCGGACGCCAGTAGACGGCTTTTTTCCCGACTCTTTAAGGGCTCAGAACATGGTTCCAGTTATCGAGGGTAAAATTATATGGAAAATGACCCGAGGGGAAACGAAAATTGGTTCGAGTTAGCGGGAGTTCGCGTTATCGAGGGTTCGAGTTACCGAGGGTAAAATTACAGTAACTGTATGAAGGAAATCCAGGGGAAATCGATTTTGGTTCGAGTTAGAGAGGGTTCCAGTTATCGGGAGTCGACTGTATGTTCTTCTTATTGAAAATTACATGCTGGATCGGATAAATAAGACAATGAGTGGCTATCATTGGTAGGGACGTAGGCAACAGTATTGTGTCAGACGCCAAATGAACATGGGGAAGAGTCTACCACCAAACCAAAACTCCAAAAGTGGCTTAGCTGCCTGCCTTTGAGCCATTAAGCCTGGGTTGGCCTGGGCTTAACAAGAATTTGGGTCAATATCACGAGATAAAAGGGCGTGAAACTGCAACTCAATGTCTGTCGCCGCTATGGGCATGCTAAAGTAGATTCGTTGTAGGGATCCCGCTATAACGACTAATAACTACAAAATGAATTAGTGAGTAATTAGATCGATCTTTGTCGTTTATCTGAAACATTGCTGCGAAGTGATATTGACAGCCCACTTGTTACCCTAGAAGGGATATTTTCAAATTAAAAAAAAATGCTCCGAAAGCGGACCGAGCCAAACATAAAGGCGGTGGAGTTGCAATTTTGTGCAAGGAAGACTGAAAAGTGAAGAAGATAGATGTGAGTGGCATCGAATAAGAATGTTTGTGGGCAAAGGTATCTAGGACCAATCAAAATTACTTTGTTCTCTCGGTTTACCATCTAACGACCTTTGATTATTGTGAAACTGCTTTTATTGAATTCTTAGTTGATTTCTGCGAAAGCATTCTTGACACCTCGCCGAATGCAAGGTTAATTGCTGGTGACATTAATAAACTTGACTTGAAATCTCTTACATGTACACAACAAAGTGGTCTTTCGAAACTGGTCAAGACTCCTGAATAGGAATGACAGTGTCTTTGAAGTATTTCTGACAAATACAACAAGGTAGGGAATTCCCCAGTGAGATCTGTCGTTGAATTTATTGACGCCCGGTCTGACCATCATAAAAGCTTAATTTACAGAAACTACAGGCTATTGATTGGTCTACTGACTCCTTGCTGAAAATAATATCAACATTGCTATTGACAAGTTCTATTATATCGTCCATGAATAGTTCAAGAACAGCTTTCCCTCTTTACGGGTCAAAATGTCATCAAAAGACCCTTCTTTTATCTCGCCTTTTACATCTTCTGTCTAAAAGGAAGGAATACGTTACTGAGAAAAGGGATGGTACAGGAAGCTGGACTCTTACAACCGAGAATAACCCATCTTATCAAAGAGAATCAGTTGAATCTGACCAAGGTTAACAATTTCGAAACAATTACAACATGAAATGGCTAGCAAATCTTGGTGGAAAGTGGTAGATAAATTAACTAGACTTGTTGGATCAAGTATGAATCTCTCATCCTTATTCATTGTGAACGATATTAACACTCAGTTTCGGTCAATCAACACAGACCAAATTTATGTCGAACCTGCCCAGTTGGAGATTATGAGCATCATAAATTTCCTTTGATTCATGAGATATCGGTCTTCAAGGCATTGTCGCATGTGAAAAGGACTGCCACTGACCCAGATGACTTACCTGTTGGTTTTCGAAAGAGTATGCCCTGGAACTCACACCCGTGATAACACATATTTTGAATGTTTCCTTAGTCACCCAGTAAGTCCCTAAGATTTGGAAGACTGCAAATGTGCGACCTGTTCCTAGGGAGACCAATATTTGTGCTTTACTGACCAGCGTAGACCAATATCAGTCACTGACATTGTGAGATTTTTTGAAAGATTAATTAATCCTGGATTTCTAATTGAGGAAACTGGTTTACTGCTTTATTCATTTAGATCAGTTTGCCTATGACAAGGATTGTGGAACTGAGACTGTCCAATCATCTAATCAACGCTTTTGGATGAGATGGCTTGAGTTCTGTCTTTTGACTTCTCGAAAGCCTTTGACTCGGTTTCCCATAGATTAGTAACTGATAAACTTAATAAAGTGCCTGATATTAACCCTTATATTGGGTTACTGACTTTTTAAAATATCGTCAGCAAAGGGTATGTGTAGACAAAGTCATAGCCCCATTCTTGCCTGTCAATCGAGGTGTGCCCCAAGGCATTGTTCTGGGACCTGTACGTTTTTACTATCGTGGTTAATGATAGAAGTCGCACCTCCCAGACTACCTTGATGACCAAAAGCGCTGAGGAGGTAGAAAATTCTGGACTGAGGAGAATTTGATGAAACTTAATCTGAGTAAGACCAAGGAACTTGTCATAAAAGGAAGAACAACCATGCCCTCCCCCTGAGCCAATTGTTACCATTAAACGTGTGTTATATCTGAAGCTTCTAGGAGTGACTCTTCGGGATAGTCCTACCAACTGGGATAAACATTTTGATGAGTTGATGGAAAGAGTTCTAATTAAGAAACGTGCAGCGTGCAAACATGGAGTTATGGATGCACGCGGGAGGTTGCTAAGCACGAAAGAAGCGTAAGAGTCTGCGACTCTAGCTTCTTGAGTGCTTAGCAAACCTCCCAAGTGCATACATAACTCCATGGTTGCACAGCTGCAACGTTTACCATTTCTTTTATAACATAATCTAAAGAGGAAAACATTATTTTCCATTTGCCTTCGGTTGAGTCATCGGTCCGAGTTCATGTATGCTGCCATCTACCCGCGCGTAAACAAATCATGTTCTATGTTTTTCAAAAACTTGCCTTTGAGTTTTTCTTTCGCTGAATCAATTGTTCTCGGTCTTCAGGTGAATTGCAAAACGTTTTTCGTTGTTATTCTGAATGGCATCTGTCTACTTGCTCTTAATATTAGGGTAAAAACTTTCAGGGAAAACTGTAGCTGCAACTATAAACACCAACTGAAAAGACTCAGTCTAAAAAATAAGCCAAAACTAAATAAATGAAATAATTATAAAACTTATTTATGTGACAAGTTTTGAAATAAACGTAAAGTAGAAATGAGAAAATTTGACTGTAATTCCTTTAGAATAACAGGTAACACTATTTTTAAAAAGAAATTAAGTAGCTTTGTATCGAAATCTGTCTGGGGAAATCCAGCTGAATCCAACTGAAATTCGCCGACTCACAGCCGGCGCTGAAGCAGTTGTTTTTCGACCGTTCTCTGGACGACTGTTATGAATGAACACTGAGAAACAAAATAGTACACACAGAAGTTATGTTTTGAAAAATTTATTAGAAAACCCAAATGTTTCTCTACTCAAATGAAATTCGCTTATCCCAGCGTAATGTGCCCGTTTGAACTCAACTAAAATTTTTGATCGATTTGATGAAAACTTCACAACAAAGCGTCTCGAATTTGAGCGTGTTTCCTTAAATATTTGCTTGAATTAGCATCAGCTTGACCAAAAAGTCAATAACACAATGCTAATTGATAAATTTACATTTCAAACAGACTTTCTCTTCGATAAAAAACACACAAAATGTACCTTAAATCTTCGCTCGCTCGATTTTCCTTCAGCCGATGCTAGCCGCGAGGAAACCAGTGATTAATTCATCCAGGGCAAATTTGTCGCTTGATCTTTTGTCTTTTTTCCTTCAAAACGACAGCTTACTATTTTCTTCAACTTCCACTTTTCATCTGTGCATTTCATCGGTGTATTTTACCGTCAGGAGAGGAGATTTGTTGAATTTGCCTAAATTTTACCGCGCTAGCTCAGTTTCTTGGCGTGCACCCACGGGCAAATGGTAGTGGCTAACTGACCAATCAGAGCGCGCGATTTACTTTTGTTATGTTATAAAACGTATTCATATCCTTAGAGTGTGTTAGTGTATCTGACCTTGATTACCTCTTTAATTGCCTCATTATGTCACTTTTTACTTACTGTATCAGGGTTTGGGGTGTTGCAGCTTATACCAAATACCTTGGTCAAATTGATAGGCTATTGAGAAGGGCCTTTCGATTTGGTTATATTCAACATGAAACATCGATCCAACACGTTTTTAAAGACAGGGATTTTAGGCTCAGGATTGTGGGTACTCCCTCGCATCCCCTGCAGGAACTTCTCCCCCAACTTAAGGACTTAAGAGCAGGGCTTTACGCAGGAGGTCGCATCCTTACCAGGTCCCAAGTGTTAATGCTGAGAGGTTTAAGAAATGTTTTGCCAATAAATGTCTCTTTGATTTTAAATAGATTGTAATTAAGTACTTTCTAGGTTAAGACAGTTCTTATCTTCATTTTATAATAGACCTTGTAAGTTTTAACGTTTGTTTACGACCTTGAATAAAGATCTTTATTATTATTATTATTAAAAAGTTGCTAAATCTAGCGAAGCACACGTAAAACAAAATACTCAGGCCATTAATTTTGTTGTAGATGTTTATAATAAGCGTTTATCCCTGCGTTAGCATTAATGTATAGTTGTTGATTTATCGGAGAGACAAAGGGCCTGATTCGCTTCAGAGCAACTATTGCAGCGGATACCATTTTACATACTTTTTTAATATAATTTGTCCAAGATAGTCGGTCATCGATTGTCAGGCCTAACGACTTGGTATGATCCACTCTCTTGATTCCTTAACTCTATTTTGACACAAATTAATTGTAGATTGTAGAAAATGCAGAATGTAAACTGACTGCAGACTATTGTTTTCAGGATTAGAAAACACTGGGACTATTATTGTCTCGTTCTCATTTGCGTGGTGAAAACAACTGTCTGCTGCATTTTGTACTGACCGAATTTGAATTTGAATTTGGTGATTTCTTCTTCGAGTTTTCTATTTTGTAAATTCAAAACTGGACCAGGGGGCATAATTTTTAATAATGAACAGTGAATAGAGCTAATCTCTGACCAGATTTTCGACCGCTCGTTGTCAAGTTTAGAGCTAGTTATTTCAGTAAATGGTGAAAAAGAGCTATTTGCGAGATCTAAATCCAAATGGTTGTTACTTTCAGCATTTCTTGTACCTGAAGCAGGAATTCCAGGGTCGTTTTGAACTGCCGAGGTGTTGCCGACTGATGAGTTCGTTTCTTAATCTTCTCCAGAGTTTTTGACAGCCTCCAAAAGCCGCTTGACAAGACAGTTTTCGAACCTCTGCAAGTGCTAGTTTAGAAAGCTCAGTCTTTAGTTCGGGTACTGAGATACACTTAATTTAGGGATGGTGTCCTCCGTCAACTTCGGCATCCTCAACTTAGTCTGCCTCTTCTGAAAAGTCTTAGGTGGTGCAAAATCTTCAAATTGTTCTCTCCTCAAACAGACTCAAACAGAAACTTCTTTGAGCAAGCCGCATCCGGGTATGGGTATTAAAAGAAGCAGAGTAAAATGCAGACTGCGGACTGACTGAGGACTATTGTTTTCTCGGGGTTAAAAAAAAATGGGACCATTGTTGTTACGTTCTTATTTGCATTGGTAAAAACAATGGTCAGTCCGCAGTCTGCGTTTTACGCTGACCGGTTTTTGAAACACATATTTGACACGAGCAAATGGGAAACAATGTGAAATTTGTTCTAGTGATTCTCACTTATTCAGAGGTAGTTTTAAATAGAAAAAAAAAGCAATAAATAAATAAATAGGCAAAAACAATTGCTTGGCACGTAGATACGTGACCGCGCGCCATAAACACATGTTAAGTATCACCTGTGGAAGATTAGCCCGATTCCGAGAAATCGATGCGCTGACTGCGCATGACGGGGCATTCAAATGGAAACCACTGATTGGTCGAAGGTAAATAAGTGACGGTGAACAAATATCTTCCCGATGCATCACTTAAACTGACCAAACTAAGACAAACCGTACCTTCCAGGAAGAAACAAATCGTTTCCACAGTTTTGTAGCGGTCATCATGATCGCTGAAGATCAGTTTCGACAGAATATGGAAGAATTCAATCCGATGGCTGCTCTTGTGGGAATGGATGTTACTCTGAGAAGGGAAGTTCACCAAGAACGCGCCAGAATAAACGAGCTTATTGTCAATCAACATAACGAAGACATCGAGTCCCTCAAAAAGCAAATTGACGAGAAAAACAAAGAAATTGACGACTTACGAAAGGCTATGGATGCTTTGGAGGAGCAAAATCAAGAACTTAGCGTGGCGTTGAAGTCCAGAAATGAAGAGATCAAAGCCCTCAAAGCCAGACTCGGTCGACTTGAAAACGACAAGAAGGAACTGGAGGATGAGTTGCGATCTGTTAAAGTGAAGGTAAATCGAATGGAGAGTGACATCAAAGAATTGAGTGAAGCAAAATTGGCCCAGGAGGAGAAAAATATAGAATTACAAGAAAGTCTGGGCAAAGTGTCGGGAAAGATGGAGAGTAGAAACCAAGCAATAAAGAAAGAAATTAAAGAGATGAAGGAATTACAACACAAGGAGATTCCACCATCTTTAGGTATTCCTAGACCAGTACGCCAAATTACTCCTGCGCTTCTACCAAAGCATTTGCAACAAGCTGATCGCGAGCTACACGCATCGCTTTCTTTGGGGGAATTGTGCCGTCAACTCCAAAACAAGATGTACAAGATAGTGTTCCCAAATTCGTTTTCATCGGGCAGAAACTACAAGATGAAGAACATCCATCGCGATTTGGACAAACTTCCTCAACCGACAGAGGAGAAGGAAAGATCTAAGACAAAGTGGGGTGAGTTGAATGAAAAGTTTCAGTGGGAGGAAGCATACGAAGAAGCGATGAAAGCGCTCCAAGAAAGCAGAAATATTGACGCGCATCCCAGCCCATTAACAGAGGAGGGCTTAATTAGAGCGACAGAAATACTTAATGGGAAAGGAGACCTTAAAGGATGGCTTTCTTTAAAACGTGTTCACGAGTTAATACATATCTGGAAACAATTACAAACATTGGATTAAGGTTTTATATTATTATTTTTTTTGTCTTCAAGGGACAAAATGACATCTCCTTTATTGATAAACCTTTCTACTAGGTACAAATGTAGCTCAGTCACGATGTATTTGTGTGCAATGTGCGTTTCATTGTTGGCTTTCGGTGTAGTAACAAACCCTTGGCAAACTAAAAACCATAAAGACACACGGTAAAATAGCCCGTGGACAGGACTTCTAAAACTAAAAAAATAATCTTTAATTTGTCAATTTCAGTTTAAAAGGCTGAAATGGATTCTGGTACAACATAAGGCTTCAATCCCTTCAAGCCGACCTACTGGCCCATTAAAGAGTTCGTATAAAATAAAGGCAACTTTAAAGGACATGCTTCTTTTAGACGTATTTGCATGCAATGTTTCAATCTGGTGATATGTATAAAAGCGACTGAATAGCCATGGTTTAATTTACCGCTAGACAGGGTGTGTTACAAGTTACAGTGCCATGTGCTTCATGCTTCTGCTCGTCAGACCTATTAAAAACGGAGCTTGAGTTGAATTTAAACCATGAAATATAAACTTGAATTGAATTCTAACTGATTTAATTTGGTAGGATCAGGCGATGGGTCTAATAGAAACATCGTTTGAACTTAGCATCTCTTGCTTCAGCTATTTTTGTGCTGTGTCACATAGAATCAAACATTTCCATTTCTTAAAACCATCAAAAAATTCTTCTGAACCCAAAGAACATGAATAAAAGCTCATTCCTTGAGGCAGTCCAATGCTTTTTTATGACTGAGGCGGCAGAAGTTTCTGAGAAATTGACCTTTGTCGGCATAGTTCCCTGACCACAATGAAGGTCAGTATTAGGAAACTGAGCAATAAAACTAGAAGTACTAGATAACTGAAAGTGAAATGAATTAAGGGTAAAAAACCGCTTATGCAGCGCCTCAATGTTCAGCGTTAGCGCATGTTTTGGACAAGGAATTAGGATGTAAATATGCCAATACCGTGAGAAATATTTTGTTAATGTGCAACTGCAAAGTGATTGCATATATTGCATAATCTACCTTATGAAAATGTTGTATTCCTCGAAACGCTCATGATAACATTTGCCCATATGGACTAGTCCCTTCGAAACTGGCCAAAAAAAAGCTCGTTTTACAATTTCTGAAAAATCTTACAATTCCTGAAAGGTCTTTTAACACGAAATGATATAACGTAAAAGAGTTGAAAAGTCGCTATTTATAGCTTTTTCTAAGAATTGTCAATGATTGCACATCTAGTCATGAATCCAGTTTCCGAGAAGCTGACATGTCGCAAAGGTCATCAAAAGTTTCCCCCCAACATAATATACATAACTGGGTTTTTGTAACACAACACCCCCAAATTCAGCTTTCTGTTTTGTGCTCTACCTGCTTAGCCGGGCTGAATTAGTTTTAAATTCTTACAGAATAAAGTCATTTTAGGTTGGTTGGTCAAGTTTAAGACTCTGAGTGAATCATTTAGCGGAATTGGAAGAAGGAGGACAGTCCTACGCTTCTACCATCTCGTCGGAGAAGTAGGCAGCACGATCAGCTCTCTGAAGAAATTCATTCAAGGTTAGTAATACCGTATTCTATTTGTATTTTTAAATTTCTTGATATATGTATGGGAAGTGTAAGAAATTCCAAACAAGAGCCAAATCTGGTACTGTTCTGGTTAGAGTGTTCTTTCAAGCATGGGTCCGTACGGCGTTTGTTACCTTCGCCAGGACTTGTTTGTTTTAATTTTTGCCACACAATCATAGAAACTATAAATAATATAGAATAAGTAGAAAAAAGAATGGCGAGGAGACCTATGGGATCTAATGAGAACAGTTAGGCCTCCTCGAACTACAGCCGGCTACATGGCTGTTTACATCAACTAAAGGAAAGATGGCGTAAACTCAAAAATGAATACAAGGAATGGGCTTGAAGCCCTTCTTTGCATCCAGATAAAAGTCGCACATTTCTAGTCTGAATGTGAGAATGTGTCTGAAATTTTCCGAACTGCATCCTGTATTTTTTTGAAAACGGTTAGGCACAAGGAAATCAGGTCACTGTTTCATCTTGACCATGCACTGAATCTTGCTCTGCAGCATAGTGGACTATTTTATAATCATTCATCATGATTATTATTTTTAAGTCGCTCGTGGAAGCTGGATTTTAGTGTTTGCTTCAACAAATTAGGCATTAGAGGCATATCAAGGCATACGTATTCAAAGTAGACAGACTGCAAATTATATTAGTTGCTAAAAAATATATATCTACGTGTCGCAGCTGTTCATCAGTAGGATGCCTAAAACGCGTGCAATTCCACAATTGGTTTCGGCTCCAGTAAATCCTATACCAATTGCAGCGCATTTTAGGAGGAGCCATACATTACGATAAATTAAAGTGATGGGTAGTCAGTGAACGTAGTGTACTAAACTATATGATTCATTCCTCCAGAAAAAAAAATACGTTCTTTTCTATTTCAGGGTTCTCATCGACCTAAGTCTCCCGCCTTTCGATTCTTTGCAGTCGGATATTGATAGGAAACACTTGTCATAAAACTGAGACATATCTTCCAGATTCCCATTTAAATCTATAAACTCATAAGCGACGTTATAACTTGGCCATGCTGTCTCATGTCTCGTCGACTTCCTATCCCACGCTAATAAGTGCCGTATGCTTAAAAACAGCGCGTGCTTCATTGAGCTTCAATGATTTTCTTGGTTTTTTGAAACCGGCGGACTGTTGAAAACTCAGCAACGTCACGTTCAATAGGAAATCATAACACTTTTTTAAAACTTCAATTGAGTCACTCCTTCACTAAACGGTGTATTTCTCATAAACCTACACTGGAGGTCTTACACGCGTTGATGACCTTGATAATTACAGTGAACATTCTCCTGAGTACGCTTAAACAGATTGAGATTCTTGCTATCAGCAGATTTAAAATGATATGGAGGAAACGTTTGCGACTTTGTGAGGCTCGTTTAGGCTTAATAAAAAGGCAGGGGTCCATTTTAATATTGGTCCGATTTAAACAGGTCTCACTGCGTGTATGGATGGACATACATTTAGGATTGGCCGGTAGATCGAACGTAAACCGCAGGAAGAGTTTTTCTTGTTCTGATTATTTATGAAAGTTCAATGTACTAACAGTATGGGAGCGTTCATCAACAGTTTATCAACAAAATAAGATAAAAGCAAAAAGCTTCTGAGACGTTTTCTTAGAAACTATCCCGCGCGAAAGGACGAGCGTAATTCCTAGAAACGTTCATTAGTTATTAACAAATGTTTGCTCATGTGGTTATCACGAGGTTCTTTAGACCTCTGTGATTGGTCAGATTTGTCGCAATATATGAAATCATTTTACCAGAAACGTCGTTCAAGGTCACAGAAAATGAAATAACCGCGGGATATTTGGAAAAGTCAAACAAATAACTGCAACGATATAATGCAACTTGGTTTTGGCATAAATTTAACAAATAATAGTAATAAAAATAATACTTGGAGATCTTAAAGCCTATTTTTTAGTAGTTTGAGGAGAAACGAATCATACATTTATAAGGGACTACATTGATCAATGAATGATTAATGCGGATAAATGAATAAAATAACAGCCATCAACCTAAAGTCGAATGATTAGTTTTATCTCCCAACTCCAGCACGTTTTTAAATTAGACGAGAATACGTCCAGTACTAAGGAAGTGTTTACATGAGAAAATTCGCACCGGCGCGAGTTTCATACCGGGATGACTTTCTGATTTTGTATCCCGTTTACAAGATGACTGGGTCATTTCATATCTCGTTATTTGAAGGTACACTTCATGACAGTAAAATATACGTGAGATTCAAAATCGCAAACATTACGCATGCGCTACCCGTTCCAGTCCACCGACAGACCGATTTCCCACCAAAACGTGTGGTGGTTGTTCTTTCTGTCGCATTCTGCTCCATTTCGTCTCAGCCATCAATGACAGCTAGGACTCAGTGGGCGTTAAAAAGTCACTTAAGAAAGTGATAATAAGGGCAGTGGGGCCCGTTTCGCGAAGTCCCGATAACTTTTCGGGCCCGAAAAGCTGTTTTATGTTTTCCGTGTTTGCATTCAAGATCAAAGTTTCAGTAATTTTGGAAAATGGGTAAAATGAAAGTTAACGAAGCAAAATTGACAGGTTTGTGAGCTAGGAACTGTGCTACTATTAATAACTTACAGGTTTTGACTTCAAAATTTGCCTTTGGACTCGAAAAGTTACCGGGCCTTTGGAGAAACGGGCCCCTAATTACAAATTGTCTACTCCCATACTGAGCAAATCGTGTACTCATTTGTGCTCAGGAAAATAGCAATTGGCGAGAAAGACCAACTTAGTTTAGATGCAGTTGGAAAAGCATGCTCTTTGCCAAACCTGTGAAAAAATATTACTGTTGGCAGAGCAATTGTCAAGACAATGCAATGGGGCATCGTGATTTCCATAATGTGCGATATCGATACATGTTTTTAAATTAATTAGTTTAAAGTTTGTTGTCAAATTATACAAAAAATATATGTATTTACTTTTAAGTTTGCTACCACCAAGTTCTCCATTTTACAGATTCACTGATTGAGAAATAATGTACTCAGCACAGTTATGCATGTCAAACTACTTATTTATGATAACCTTTAGAGGGGGCTCTCTTTAAAGCGAGTTCACGAGTTAATGCATAATTATCCGGAAACAACTGTAAAGGTTAGTAAGACCTTCATGGTGATGATGATAATAATAATAGTAATAAACGCTTTATTTAAACTGGAAAAGTCTTTCAGTATTAAAAAAAACACTTGTCTTAACCAGAGTCTAGTCTAGCTAAATAATGCACAAGCCTCATAAAATATTTAGCTGATCAATATACAAAGCATCATAAAATATAGAAAAAAACCTATTTGAAAAAATTGGCATGAAATTGATTAAAAGCAATTAAAAGAATTACAATGTACACCTGTCATTGTCAATATCATCTCTTCTTACATAATCGTATAGCTCCCTCTTAAAACGAAATAATATAAAACAGTTATTTTCTTAATTTTCGTTGGCAGCAAATTCCGATCTTTGGATGCAGCTACTTCAACTGTTCTTTGCCCAGAAGAGGTCTTTGCATCCTTAACATTTAAAATACACTTGTTCCTAAGAGATCTACCACTCAACTGCTTTGGACAAGTTTGACTTTTTACAATTCTGAAGATACAAATAAATTTAAGGAATCGTCTTCTGTTAAAAAATGTCAATAAACCCAAAGTATTCCTCATTTCTTGTGTATGTTGTAGTTAGTTTTTTATCTCTGTTAATTTTTATTTTCCCATTTTTGGAGGGCATGATAATGAATGCTAATGATTTTTAAAACAAAGGAAATATAAAAAATTAACTGAAATAAAAAATATAACTGCAACATGTACATGATGTTCTTTTGGCTTTTAAGATCACTGTTATAGCCTTATTTTGTATTTTTTTTTCAATCCTTTCAGTTCAGCCAGGCTTTTATTATACTCATGCCGCCAAACAACACAACCACAACCCAACACTGGAAGTATCGTTAGCAAGATCTTAGCAGCTAAGAAACCTGTGATTGACCCTGTTCGATAGTGCAATCTTGGGAGAAACTGTTTCAGTCATCT